GACGGACCCAAGGCAAGCTTGAAGGTGGCAGCTTTGAGTGGGAGGGCAGGGGATGGGGAGATGGAGGCACATATGGAAGGGATGGTAGGAAAGTTTCCTTGTGAGAGCAGGAGACCAAGCTTGCTGATGCAAGGTGGCCCTCCCAGCCCAGAGAACTGGTTGCTGCTTGTGAGTCTCCCTTCAGGCTGGGAAAGTGGGGGGGTTGGGGTAGTTGGGCCCTGGTGCCAGGTCTTGATGTGTGGGGGCCATTTTCCTCTCTTGCTGTTCTAGGTGGTGCAGACTGGCAGCAGTTGGACTCTGAGCTTCAAAAGGAGATCCTGACCATTTGGCCTCACCTGTCCCAGAAGATGCTTGACCTTTTGGTACCCATGCCAAAAAGTGAGTCTCTGGGGGCTGTCAATTGCTTTCAAATTCCCATCATCCTCACAGCAACTTCTTCCCAAAGGGAGGTGAAGACTGCTCAGACCCATCCCCAGCTGGAGGAGAAGTGGGAAAAGGGTTTGTTGCTACAGGCTGGCTCCTGCCTTGTTCTGCTTGGCTGCTTGTGAACTCTTTTGAAAAATCACCCAATTTGCAGGGATCTACTCCTGCCAAACCCAGAGTCTCCTGTAAATCATCCCTGAAGCATATCGGGGAGGGAGGATGAGTATCACTTATGCTGTCACATCTGATGACGTGGTGAGGGTGTGTTCCTTGGTGGCTTAGGGTGACGATTTCACGCCATCTGCATTCATTTTATCTTTATGAGAAGTGTCTGGATGTCCAGCGCTCTCTCTTTTAGAGCAGCGAGCAGAGTGTGAGGGTCACCAGGGTATCCCACAGCGGGGCTCTTCCTGTGAGATCCACGCTGATGACTTCAAACCTGCTGTTCCTGTCACAACACAAGTGTTCTCACTTTGTTCCTTGTTATGCTCTCAGCCTCTGACCTGACTGTTGGGAAAATATATGCAGCCATGATGATCATGGATTACTACAAGCAGAGCAAAGCGAAGAAGCAGCGGCAGCAGCTGGAGGAGCAGGTGAGGCCTCAGTGAGGGCGTGTGGTGGGCAGATCCCTCTTGCTGCTTCCTACCACCTCCCAACCAAACGTGCAGCCAGCTGCATGGGATGCAGCTGGGGGACGAAGATGGTGGTACAGGTTGGAGTTTGGCCACTACAGGGCATGTGTATGTGCCTTGGTACCCTCGGTCCCTGACAGCAAACATGAGCACGATGTCCCCTTCCCAGGTAGTGGGAGCTTGGTTGGTGAAGTGCTGGATGCCCATCCACATTTCCTACAGGCTCAGTCTCTTCCTCTCTTCAATACAGAAAAATGCACCCATGTTCCAACGCATGGAGCCGTCCTCCTTGCCGCAGGAAATCATCTCCAACGCAAAGGCTCTGCCGTACCTCCAGCAGGACACCCTCTCGGGCCTGTGAGTACTGCCCTGGGAAGAGAGCTAGTCCTGGCTCTTTTCTGTTCCTGCAGCCCTTGTTTTGTTCTTGGAGCTGGCACTGGAATGCACAGAGGGTTAAATTACTGCTGGGAGTAGGGAAAACCCAGTCCTGGGCCCAAAGCTTTTGCAGGATTCCAGGTAGCCAGTGTGCATCAGCACTAACAGCAGCAGAGGTGGCATAGAGGGATGGCTGAGGGCCTGCATGGATGTTCTTCCTGCAGGACCATACAAGCACTGAGTGTCAGCACTTTTACCTGGGAGGGTCTGGGATGGACCTGAACCCTGGGAGCAGTTGAGCAGCGGCTCCCTGGATGGTGCAGGATCAGTGGGGGATCCCAGCACCTAGGCTGGTGGGAATGAGGTGATGGGAATTGCTGTCACTGAGTTTGGTATGTCCCTACTGCTGCTGGGGGACCTGAGGCACTGGTGTCCTCTCCTGCCTTGGTACCAGTCCAGCACGGGGGCTCCCCAGCTCTGAGCCACTGGAGGGACGATGCCCAGTGATGGCAGTACCTGTCTTGTGGCCTCCCTGAAGCTGGTCTGTCTTTGCAGGAGCAGTCGAAGTGGGTTCCCCTCGCTGAGTCCGCTCTCGCCACAGGAGATCTTCCAGCTGGCTTGCATGGATCCAGCCCAAGAGCAGTTCCAGGAGCACCAGTCTCTGGTAAAGTCCCACACTGCCTGACGGGCGCTCACCTGCGGTCCCAGCACGGATGCTGGTGGGCATGGGGAGGTGTGGGGAGTGAGCACGGCACAGGGAAGGCAGCTGCCGGATCATACACAGATCCGAAGCACGGGATGAATGTCCCCAGGTGTGCTCTGCCCCTCACCTCTGGCGCTGGGGACACAGCCATCCCTGGACCAGCCCTGGCCAGTGGGGTCAGGCAACAGCACGTGCTCTTGGGGTGAGAGCTGTGACTGGAGTCCGATGTCCTGCAGTAAAATGTCCTTCTCTTCACAGGCTGCTCTTTTTTTCCACTGAGCGCTGGTTTCAGTGGGTTACCCCGTGCTGAGTGATGGTATCTGATGTTTTCGGGTTCATGTTCATTTTGTTGTCAGTGCTGGTGTCCCCAGTCCCAAACCAAGCTGTCAGACTGTTTCCAAGGGGAGCACACCCCTCCGGCCCCACACACATGCTGGCCTGTCTGTCTGTGTGTGTATATATATATCTACATATCTATATATATCTCTCCATGTCTGTGTGTGCCCTCGTGCACCACCCGGCACTGTCGGATGCAGTGTTGTACCACTGTGCATCTCCAGCCCAGACTGTGTCCCCCGGGGTCTGTAGCACTCTGTGTGACCTGTGTACCCCTGCCCTGGCTACCCCCAGCACATGGGAAGGGGGCAGATGAGACTCTCCCCCTCCCCATTAAGTCACCTATTAGCAGATCTCTCCAGAGTTACTGCCTGCCCATCTCCTTATCCTGCACAAAGGCGCCTCTCAGCTGGGAATAAACCAGTGTACTGTAGGCAGCATGTATTCTTTTAAGGGAGATATGTCCAGGAAGCCTTTAAAGTTTGGTCAGAGAGAAAATCCTGAAAACTTTTCCCCTCCTGGCAGAAGACGGAGTTCAGGCGTGGGCAGTCAGGACATCACCAGATCCAGGCAGGGTTACCACTATCATTGAATAGGTACAAGGTGCGCTGGCCATTAGGCAGCACTGAAGCACCCCATCAAGGCTCATCTGCAATGGATTGTGAACTGGAGATTATTTTTCAGTGTCAACATGATGAATTATAAAGCCTTAGACGCTGTTTTTCACAGAATCATATGATAATTTGGGTCAGAAGGGACCTTTTAAAGCTCACCTAGTTCCACCCCCCCTGCCATGGGCAGGGACATGTTCAACTTGCTCAGGTTGCTCAGAGCCCTGTCCAACCTGACCTTAAATGTTGCCAGAGATGGGGAATCCACACCTTTTTGGACAACCTGTGCCAGTGTCTCACCACCCATTTTTGGCCCACTTAAATTCTGCCCCTGGTTGAGCGATCAGGGCTGTCCCCTGCCAACAGGGCAGAAGCAGCATGCTGCCCTGCTCCAACCCCATCCCAAGAGCTTGGCTGTGTGTTTGTTTCCAGGAGCCAGAGGTTAGGGAGTTTCAAAGAGTGCAGCCCTCTAACCGTGGCAGCTACCTTCCTGTGGACACTCAGGACCACGCTGTCTCTGGGAGGGCCTCCTCCATGCCTCGTCTCACTGTGGATCCCCAGGTAAAACCAAACAAAGCCCCCACGGGTGCGGGTCCATTCAAAGCCTACCTGGTAACACTGGGGCTTCTCTCTGTGCTGACCCCCACGGCTTTCCCACACCCCGATACTGGAGCATCTCCCCTTCTCTGGGGCCCTGCACTAGTAGGAGATTTGCTGTTCCCCGACATGAGGGACACTGGCAGCAGAGAGCAGCCTGGGGAATTGATATCCTGGCTCATGGGGGAAGTCCATGATGCAGCAGGACCGTGCTGGGAGGTGGCAGGGTCTCCTCACAGTGGGACACCCCTCCTTTCCTCTGGCTCCGAGCACTGGCTGAGGTCTGAGGATTCCCAGCTCAGCTGTCAGATGATCTCACAGGTGATGAAATGCATTTTCCATCCTTTCACGTTGTCCCAACACATGCTTTTCTCTGTCTGTCCAGAGGAACTCAGGCCACATCTCACCTCCTCATTTGTCTGCCCAGTTTCTCTGTTGTTCTGTCTTGTGCTCAGCCTCCACCAAGAAACCAATGCTTTTGTGGGGTTTGGTGTTGCTGTGAAATCCCTGGGTCTGCTTTCTCCCAGAGGTGCTGGTACAGGCACTAGGTCTTGGTATTGGTGACAGTGTGACATATTTTGGCACTTTGGGGTGGTGTGAAGAAGAGGGGAGCCTTTGCCCCATGGGCTTTCTTAACCATTCAGCAGCAGAGGAGATGATTAGAAGGAGGGGATGGGAGCAAGAAAGGTGAGAGGAGAAGAGATGGAGACTGGCCTGAGGCTGCAGAGGCAAAGACCTGCTAGAATAAAGCAAAGGAAATATGGAAGGGGGTGATGTTTCCCCCATAATGGTGAGAACATAAGCTAGAAGGAGGGGAGAGAGAAAAGGAAAGGGAAGATAAAACAACAACACGAGCAGGGAGAGAGGGAATGAGTTCAGGGGAAAAGGGATGGGGATGTGGGAATAAAGGAAGAGTAGGGAGGGGTCTGGAAAACTGGTGGCAGTCATGAACACGGAGCGATGGGCAGTAGGCGATCCCCTTTCTCTCAGGGATATCTTCAATGTTTGCTCCACTTGAGCTTGTTTTCCAGGCTGGGGAAAATGGTCTGGTACCCTCTACATCCCCATGTCTTGGGGAGATGCTGCTGAACTCAGCACTCAGCACCTTGTCATGAACTGGGGCTGCCAGCTTTGCTTGTGCAGAATGGCTCCAGCTGGCTGGGGAAGGGGAACCCGTGAGCATCGAGGCTGAACCCCACTTTTCTCCCACCCCTGATTTGTGCAGAGATCATATGGAGGGGCTGTGCTTGTGCTGGCTGCTCCCCACCCTAAATCTCCCCATCCTGCAGGGCTGGTGATCCCAGCGATGGGGGTGAACTGGTAATTCTTGGCCGCCGTGGTCCCCAGCCCTGCCTGGTGCTAAATCCCCTCCCTGGCTGGCCGGGGTTGCTTGCAGGTGGTGACAGACACCAGCTCGATGCGGCGATCGTTTTCCACCATCCGGGACAAGCGCCCCAACAGCTCCTGGCTGGATGAGTTCTCCATGGAGCGCAGCAGCGACAACACCTACAAGTCCCGACGGCGCAGCTACCACTCCTCGCTCCAGCTGTCCGCCCGGCGCCTCAACGCTGACTCAGGTGAGCAAGGACAGGTGGCCCCATTTCACACCAGATCCCAAAAAAAACCCTCCAAGCTTGAGTGTTCCCTGCTGCTGCGGAGGGGATGGTGTGGGCTGATGTGGATGTCCTGCAGGCCACCGGTCCGAGGGGCACCGCTCGGGCAGGGAGCGGGGCCGATCCAAAGAGCGCAAGCACTTGCTGTCCCCCGACATCTCCCGCTGCAACTCCGAGGAGAGGAGTCCCCAGGCACAGGACGAGTCGCCGGAGCGGCAGCGCGATTCCCGGTCACCCAGCGAGGGCAGGTCACAGACACCCAGCAGGCAGGTGAGTGACAAAACCCCTCTCTAAGCACGAAGGGAAGCATAAAAAAAGCTCCCAGCCAAAACTGGGAAGGCAAGCCCCCCACTGTGGGAGCTCTGCACTGTCTCTCTTCCTTGTGGTGGCATCTCCATGTCCCCTGTGAGCTGAGCAGGTTGAGGCTGCTCGGGCACCCTGCAGAGCATGTGGGAAGAGGGGTGGATCTCACGCTGGTCCCCTCACTGCTGTGGCATCTGCTCCCTGACAAGGTCAATGTGTCCCAGCTACACAAGCCTGGAGCTGCCAGTGCTTGAGTCAGCTTGAAGCCCACAGAGATGCTGCCTGTGGAGACCAGCAGCTGGCGAGCTGTCAGCTCTTCTTGCAGTGGGTCTGTGGGTGCATTTTGCTTTTGACCAGCAGGAACATAGAATCATAGAATATCCTGAGTTGGAAGGGACCCACAAGGATCACTGAGTCCAAGTCCTGGCCCTGCACAAGACAACCCCAACAATCCTACTATGTGCTGAGAGCACTGTGCAAATGCTTCTTGAGCTCTGTTAGGCTTGGTGCTGTGACCACTTCCTTGGGGAGCCTATTCCAGTGCCTGACCACCTTCTTGGTGAAGAACCAACCTAAATCTTTCCTGACACACCTGAATGCTGTCCCCTCGGGTCCTGTTACTGGTCAGAGATTGCTGCCTGCCCCTCTGCTGCCCATCATGAGGAGGCTGCCGACGCCAAAGAGGTTTGCCCTCAGCAGGCATCATCCTCATCCCTGGAGCAGATGCCGAGGCAGGGATGGGGTAGGCAAAGACACAGCGGGACCCCGACCAAGAGGGAGGATTCTACGGGAAGCCCAGGCTCGGGGATGGGTGAGGGGGTGGGGAGCAGGGCGGAACTCGTGCATGGTGCTGCCTGTTGCCTCTGTATCCTCTGTATTCCCCGGCGCGTCTTGGTCCGTTGCAGGGAATGGGCTCCCTGAGCGAAAGCTCCATCCCCTCCATCTCGGACACCAGCACCCCTCGGCGAGGCCGCCGCCAGCTCCCGCCGGTGCCCCCCAAGCCGCGTCCTCTCCTGTCCTACGCCTCCATGCTCCGGCACGCCGGGGACGCCTCGCCGCCCGCCGAAGAGAGCGAGGGGGGCTCCCCGCTCCTCTCCTCTACCCTGGATCCCAACACCGCCGGCTTCACCGAGTCTTCCAGCTCCCCCGCGGGGAAGCAGAGCCGGCAATCCACCCCGCAGCGCTACATCTCGGAGCCCTACCTGGCCCTGCACGACGACTCGCACGCCTCAGACTGCGGTGAGGAGGAGACGC